CAAACTGCCAGAACCAATTTCTGGCTCCCAGATGAAAAATGCACGCTGATCACTCACTCTGCGATTACGATTTGCAGAGAGAAATATTTCATGTTTCAGTGTTTTAAACAGAGGCCCTCAGCACCCAGTCCTTCAGTGTGAACATCCATCCCACCCCCTGTGGATACAAGGAGGCTGCACGGATTTTGCTGGGACCTCTCCTCCTCCCCCACAGCCCTTTTTAAGGCCAGCCTGTACAGTTTAACCCTTGTTGTCCCTCAGCGAGTCTCGGTGACATAAACCTGGAACATTCTGAGTCAGGTCCTGTATTATTCCAAGCGCAGGGATGAGATGCCAGGCAGTAAGGCACAAAGCAAGCACACGCAGAGCTGCATAAAGGTGACAAACAGGCATTGCTTTGAGAATTGCTCCCTGGTTGCTCTTCCTTACGTCAGTCCCTTGGTGTGCACAGCCAGGTGACAGCTCATTAGCTATCCTGCAGTATCATGCAGGATTTCACACAGCACTGTGTGTTCTATCACATTGATTAGGCTTATATAATTAAGTCTCACTTCCTTTTTGTGGTGCTGTTACACATACTTGTGTTCTGGTTTTTACACTCTTGTCCTTGTATTGCTGCACCGTCACTGCTGTGGCCAACCACAAGTTTCCCCCTATGGAATTTCTCCTCACATTTTTGCGTATTTGTCAGTTCAAGGAAAGATTCCCTGCTGCTGCTTTTCATCACCATGATGCGTTGGGACATCTGACATAATTTTCCGGAATCCCAGAAACCACCACAAAATTGTCATGATAGGCAAAAATACAAACAGCACGAACAGTCGTGTCAGTGCGGTCAGCATTCAGCCCGGCTGTTCTGCTTCACCTCCTGAGCCAAGTGATGTAGCTGTTCCATTTTCCCTTTGACTCCTTATCTGACAGCTTAAAACAACACATTCCTTTCAACTCCTCCCACTCATAACTGTGTCTTAACAGAGGTAATGGCTGTCTGTGTGGGTCTCAGTGAGGACAATCATGGAGGAATTGGGAGAGCTGAAGCATGTTGGGGTCCCAGAGGTGTCCAGAAGGATGCCCAGGATGTCACCACCACACGCAGGGGTGCCCCCAAGGCATATGAGGGGCACCCAGAGTGGCTTTGAGGTGTCACCATTCTGTCATTGGGATGTTATAGCGTGTAATGGCAATGCTAAGTCAGGGCTTGAAGCAGTGATTGAGCACCTCAATCACTGGGAGGGTGGGAAGGTGGGGCCAACCAGGGGAGCTCAGGTGTATGCAATGCACCTGAGTGCCTGGGAGGGATGGAGCCAGAATCCACTCCTTCTCAGTCCTCATTTAAGGGCTGGCAGTGGAGGGGAGGCCATTTTGCTGGAGATCTCTGCCTACCTGAGACCTTTTGAAAGTGAGCTATTTTTCTTCCTTCATTTCTGTGTCCATGGCTGCTTTGTTTGGGCTTGTCCTTGTTTGCTTCAGAACTTGGCTAGAACTTTGCTACCCCACTATAGGATCTGTGGGGATTAGGAAAGGGGACAGGGACAGGATGGGGGCTTGAGATGGGGAGGGCAGGTGGTATGGAAGCAGCAGGGTCCATTCAGGATAGCGTGGCTCCTGCTGGTTTGCTGTGTCACCTGCTTCTCTCCTGCCCCTTATGGCCCCACGTGTTCCCTGTGGCACCAAAGGGCTCTGTGTGCTGCTGTGTTGAGGTCATGGAGGGAGAGAGCTGCGGGGCCACGTTTAGGGTCACCTCCTGACCCCTACTTGTTATGCACACCACGCACCCCGCCCCCCCCGCCCTACGCGTGCTCGTCAACCCTGCACGTGTCCCATGTCTCAGCCCCACATGTATCCCGCAGCCCCCCCCGGGTTGGGTCCGCCCAGCCGGAGGCAAAGAGCAAAACACGATCACGAGCCAGTGAACCCTGGCGGCCGTTTCTCCCACCCCGTGGGCTCTGCCCCTCCCCCCGAGGCCCTGGGGACCCCAAGCATCCGCCTCCTCCCTTCCCCAGCTCTGCCCTGTAACTCCTACACTGGGGGGCCCAACACCCAGGGACCCCATCTCACACTTCCCCATGGGGATGTGGGTGTCTGGGTGCCTCCAACCCCCACACAGTGGATCCCTGCCGAGCCTGTACTCCCCACCCCGTGTCCCACAGCAACAACAACAGCCCAGGAGGGGGGAGGAAGTGGGGGGGGGGCGGGGGGGGGGAGAAAAGCAGGGGGGGGAGTGCAGGGCCAGGCTGAGTCATGGCCCCACCCGGCCCTGTCTGTGGCTCAGCCCTATGGCCCCATATGGCACTGTCACGCAGCATGGTCCTATGGCACAGCCCCACAGCCTCAAGGCTCTGCCCCATAGCAAACCCCTGCAATATAGTTTCATAGCCTGGCCCCACAGCCAACCCATAGTGAGTCTACCCCCAAATTGTAGTGGGTTCTGTTTTTACTGAGAGCATTGGGGGATATGAGGCAAGCAGCATTGTGGTTACTGGGAGCTGTGCAGCAGGTGGCACTGACTTAATGGGAGCACTGGGACTAATGGAACAGGTAGCACTGTGGTTACTGGGAGCACTGGGATTACTGGAACAGGTAGCACTGTGGTAGCTGGGAACCACAGGACAGGTGGCAGGGAATGCTGGAAGCTGTGGGTCAGGCAGAGCTGGGGTTCCTGGGGGCACCAGCTGTGGCTGTGCTGTGTTACTGGGATCATTGGTGCAGGCAGTGTTCGGTTACTGGTACGATTAAGACAGGTGGCGCTGAGATACTGGGAGCACTGGGATGGGCCATGCTGTGTTACTGGGATCACTGGAATCACCAGGACAGGCAGTGCTGGGTCACTGGGAGTGCTCCGGGCTGCAGCCCCCCCCGCGCTCCCCCACGCGTTGTGTCACTGCTCTGCTATGGCAGCTGGACCCCACATCTGGCTGCGCCGCCCAGATGTTTGGTTGCCGCAGCGACCGCTGCCTGTAAACACATCGTGGCCCCCTCTGGGTCCGCCCGGTTCTGCTCACCCCAGGGCGGAGGGCCCTGCGGGGGGGGGGGGGGGAGTCTGCTTCCCTTCGCTCCATGGGGAGGTGGTCCCTACATCCCCCGATGCTCAGCGTGTGGCCGATGTGAGGACATCGTGCCCCTCCTCGGCCACATTCTGCTCTGCTGCTGGCCGCTGTGTCCTGGAGCTGCCTGCTGTGCAGCCCACAGGTGCCGTGGCCACGCCATGAGCTCAGCGCTGGCCCTGCGCCCGGCCCAGGGCTATGAAAGGGCCGGAGCCGCCCCGGAGCCCTCAGTGCCGCGCTGCTGCCGCCGGGCCTGGCCCAGCAGAACCTAACAGAACCCAATTGGGCTGAACAGGGCTGAGGTGAGCAGAACTGAGCTGAGCTGAGCCAAGCCACACTGGGTTGAACCAAACCAGCCAGACCCAATTGGGTGCAGTTGGGCTCACCTGAACCCAACTGGTCCAGTTCCAGGCCCCACCCACAGGTCACATCCTGACCCCTGGGAGCAGCTCCAGCACTGGGACAGTACTGGGGAGATGGGGGGAAGGAGGGGTGGGGATGGGGCTGCAGCATTGCTGCGTTACGGGGCTGCTGGGGTTACTGGAGGAGCTGGCTGGTGCTACTGGTGCTGCTGGAGTTGCTGAAGTTACCGGAGTTATTAGAGTTAGTGCAGCTGGTGGGATTACTGGAGCTGCTGGAGCTGCTGGTGCTGCTGGAGTTACTGGGGTTGCTGGGGTTACTGGTGCTGCTGCAGTGGCTGGAATTATTGAAGTTGCTGGATGGTTTGTCTTGCTGGTGCTGCTGGCATTACTGGAGTTGCTGGTGTCACTGGAATTACTGGAGAAATTGGCATGCTGGTGCCAATTGCTGGTGTTGCCAGCATTGCTGATGTTGTCGGTCTCACTGGTGCTACTGGTGGTGGTAGTGTCAGTAGAATTATTGTGCAGTGGTGTTATTGGAATTCCTGACGTTATTTGTGTTCCCTGTGGTATTGGTGTTGCTGGGCAGGGCTGCTGATGGTTACTGGAGTTCATATATTCTGAAGGGTGGTGTGTGAAGCTACTGGAGGCAGTGGGAACTGGGATCACTGGGGTGTAGCTGGCAGCACTGGTGCTACCCCACAGCCCCAGCTCTGTATGGGACCCTCGGAGTCGGGGGGGGGGGGGGGGGGGGGGAAGAGTGACACCGGGGGTGTGAGGTGGGTGTAACCCCACCCCACGGTGTCCGAGACCTTTGTGTGTCCCCTGGGGGGTCCCTGTGCCGCTGGCATCCGTCCCCTCCCTGCAGGATCATGACCCCGGGGCTGCCGCTGCTGCTGCTGGCGCTGGCACTTCGGAGAGCGCAAGGGAATGCGGGAACATCCCCCGGTCCTCCCCCTGTCCCCCCGGAGCTCTCCTGTGGGGCAGAGGTGCTGGAGGCGGTGCTGGGACGGCTGCGGGCACTGGAGGGAGAAGTGCGGGCGCTGCAGGGACAGTGCGGGGACAGCCTGGGGCCCCAGGCTGGCACTGGTATGGGGGCGAGGAGGGGGGAGATGGGGACGTGGAGGGTGTGGGGATCAGGGATATGGGGGATGTGTTGGGGAGAATGGGAGATATGGGAAGACTTCGGAGATATGAGATGTATGGGGCTGTTTGAGGGATGTGGGGGGACAGTGGGGACATGAGGGACGCGGCAGGGAGCATGGGGATAGGGACGTAGGAGCTATGTAGGGGATGTGGATGGGAGGACAAGGGGATGAGGGGATGCAGGGAAATGTGGAATGTAGGATGATGGAGAGTAACGGGGGGAACATGGGTGATGTGGACAAGGGAACAGTGTAGGACATGGGGAGGACATTGGGACGTGGAGGACACAGGAGTGCATGTGAGACATAATGAGCTGCGGGGGTGTGTGAGGGACATATGGGGAGACATGGAGAAGTCAAAGGGAGGTGTGTGGCTCACGAGGACCCTGCTCAACCCCACAGGGAGCACAGCAGCGCGGAGGCTGTGTGACACCCCTGGGGCAGGGGGCTGCTGTGGGTGCCGCATGGGGGAGGCCGGGGATGGTCTCCCGTGTCCCGCACCCCGCTGTCCCTTCGACTGCAGTGACCAGGGACGTTGCCGGGCTGGCCGCTGCCACTGCTTTGAGGGCTTCACAGGACCATTCTGTGCGACTCCCATCTGCCCCCCTGGCCGTGGTGGGCCCCACTGCACCCTCGGTATGTCACCAAGCCTGCTGCTCCCTTGGCATCTGGTCCTGATGCCGCTTCCAAGTATCCTTGTCTGTCCCCCAGTTTCCTCTGCTGTCCTTCAGTGCTCTCCCAGTGTCCCCATCCCAGTGCTTTCAGTTGTCCCAGATCCCTCCAGTGCCCTGAGTGTCCTGGTGTTCCCATGGCTTGGGCACTTTTGTTCCTTGGAAACTCCCTCCGTGTCCCCATATTGTCTTCATTCCTTTGACCTACTGTCCTGTGGTGTTCTGAGGGTGTCCCCAAGCTGTGGCTGCCTCATCCTGTAGGGCTCAGAAGTGTTCCTGTGGGGCCACCTCCCATCTGGGCTCTTTCCCTGCAGAGATCCCCTCAGTGACGCTGCGCCTGGCTGCGCGCAACCAGACGTCCTTCCGTGTGACCTGGCCGCGGCCAGCCAAGCCTGTGGATGGCTATGAGGTGGCAGTCATCCCCATGGTGAGCTGGAGACGGGGATGGGAATGAGGACGCATCCTCAGCACAGTGATGTCCCAGTGTGGTGGCTCCATTGTGTCTGCAGTGTGAAACTTGTCCCCAGGATGGGCTGGTGTCCATGGTCATCGACTTCTGCCCCATTTGGGGGCATCTCTAAAGTGTCCTCATTGTGTCCCCAGCATGTCTCCAATGTGCCTATTGTCTTCAGACCATGACAGAGGCCAGTTCACACCATTGCAGCATGGCTCAGGAGTGGAGACATCTCCCCACTGTGTCCCTTGTGCTGAGGATTAGTCGTGGTGGTGTCACCCATCTGCTGCTTGTCTCCAGCACATCCTCTGTCACACCTGTGGCCACTCCTCTGCTGCCCAGCATGGAGGCAGTGATGTGTCCCCATGTGTCCCTGAGTCATCTCCCAGCTCTAGGAGAAGCCATTGACTGTGGCCACCTGCCTGGTTCAGGAAGAGGTCCCACATGGAGTCTTCAGTGTGTCTTTGATGTGTCCTTTGTCCCCAGGATGAACCAGCAGCACTGACCACCCACGAGCTGCCTAGTTCAGCTGTCACCTTTGAAGTGACAGGGCTGACACCTGGACAAGCTTTTGAGATCTTCATCCAGGCCCAGCGGGAGCAGCACCTCGGGGCACCGGGCACCTTGCGTGTCCGCACCTGTATGTGCCATCTGCTGTGGGACAGGCATGGGGACAGAAGGGGCATGGGATGGTGTGGGCACAAAAATGGGGGCAGGGATGACATTGCGAGGGGGCAACATGTATGGAGACAGCATTCAGCACAGAGATGGGAATGAGCATAGCACAAGGACAGGCATGGGGACAGGAATAACGCAAGCACGGGGTGGGGACATCGTGGGCGTGGGGTCTGAGGTGGGGACAGGGATGATTGAAGTGGGGACAAGCGTGGGAGTGAAGATGGAATGGGAACAGGGATGGGAATGTCGCAGCTAAAGAGATGGAGGAAGGAACAGGCGTGGGGTACGATTATAGGCAGTCATGGGGCAGGGATGGGTACTGGAATGGGAGCGGAGATGGGTGGTGTTTGCAGCCTCTGTCTGTCCTCATGTGTCTTTATTGTTCCCATGGCTCTGAGGGTCCACATGCATCTGTCTGTCTTGCAGAGCTCTGTGTGTCAGCAGTCTGTCCCTGTGGGTCCATATGTCTTCCTGAGCCTGTCCATCTGAATGTATCTCCATGGGGCTGTGTGTCCCATGGGCTCATCTGTTCACTTGGGGCCTTGTGTCCCTTCAGGTCTGTGTGACCCCAGAATATCCCCATGCATCCCCATGGGTCCACGTGTCTCTACATATCCTGATGCTTCCCTGTGTGTCCCTCTGTCTCTATCTGTCTGCGCCCGTGAGTCTGGATGTCTCCAGGCACTCCCTATGGTTCCCCAGTGTCCAATGTCCACAGTCTGTCCTTAGGCATCTGTTTGTCCTCCTCTGTTCCTGTGTCCATCCATCCCTGTGTCCCTGGGCTGTGGCAGATGAGGGATTTTGGGGACAGGCTAGTGACCTGGATCCCTTCTGTTTTCACAGTGCTTGCCCAGTCTCTGCCCAACCAAGGGGGGCTACGGGGGACCCCTACATTTCTGGCATCTCCAGTGGCCCCAGCATCACCATCAGCCCGAGGGTCTCCAGCATCCCCACGGTCCCCAGTCTCCCTGGGGTCCTTGGGGTCACCAGCATCCCTGAGGTCTCCAGTGTCCCCGGAGTCCTCAGCAGCACCAACTTCCCTGGAATCCCCATTGTCTCCAGAGTCCCCAGTGTCCCCGAGGTCACCTACATCTCAATGGTCCCCAGCATCCCCACAGTCCCCACTATCCCCAGCATCCCCTGTGTCCCCAGTGCTCCCAAATGTCCCATCCCTGCATGAGCTGGGGGTCAAGCTTTCTTCCTACAATGGATCCTTGCTGCAGCGCCTTGAAAGCCACCTCCGGGCCACGGATTTTCCACTCCGAGGCAACCAGACAGTGCCTGCAGTGGCCCGTGCCATCCTCTCCTACCTGCTTCGCCGCAGCCCGGCCTTGCTGCGTCATCAATTCCTCCGCCACCTCCAGCAGAACCCCCACCCCAAACCTCAGGTGTTGCCAGGAGCTGCTGGTGAGGCCCTGGTGGATTTGGATGGGCTGCGGGGTCATGCGGAGACCATAGTGATCCGCTACCAGCTGCTGGAGGAGCCGGAGGGGGATGAGGGGGAGATGAGGGTGCCAGGGGACACCACAGTGGCCCGGGTGCCAGGGCTGGTGCCAGGGGCCACATACCGGGTGGAGGTGCACGGTGTGGTGCGGGGACGTGTCTCCAAGTCCTACACTTCCCTGGTGACTGCAGGTAGGTGACAGGGGTGGGGATGGGGACAGCGTTGCTTGATGGCATCCAAAAACTCCACGCTACTCTTCGGGTTGCAGGGCTGGGTGGCACCAGTGAGCCTCCACCAGAATGGAAGAACCTCTATGAGATGGAGGGGACTGAGCCCCAGGGGGCCATGGCCAAAGCAGGTAACCCCAGATGGTGGCAATGGGGTAACTCAGATGTTCACCAGCACTTGGTATCCAGGTTGATGTGGTTGGATGTTTGGATGGTGAGATGGGTGGATGGAGGAGTGAATAAGGGGATGAATGGAAGGACAGACTGAATGTTGAATGCAGGTTAGATGGATGCATAGATATTTATACCTTGCATCTTGACATGACCGTTCCAGCACCATCAGAGGAGGAACCACCACAGCGGCCCCACCTAGGCATGCTCACAGTCTCCCACGTGACTCCAAGCTCCATCCAGCTGGAATGGAGTGTCCTGGAGGGCTCCTTTGACTCCTTCACGGTGCAGTACAGGGATGCACAAGGCCAGCCACAGGCACTTGCGGTGGACGGTGGGTCGCGCACAGTGACCGTGCACGGGCTGTTGCCGTCCCGCCGCTACAAATTCAACCTGTATGGGGTGTGGGGGCGGAAGCGCATTGGTTTCATCTCCACTGATGCTGTCACAGGTGAGGCTACTGTGAGCCCCCCTTTGGATCACTTCAAACTTCAAACTTGGGAGACAAAGGAACAAATCTTGCCCCTTGATTTGATGCTGTGAATGACTGTGTGCAGGGTCTGAGGGCTGGAGAGCTGAAAGGATGGAAAGCTGGATGAGGGTGTGAGTGGCCCATGTGTTGGTTGTAGGTAGATGGATAGGTGGGACAGAGGGTGCCTACTGAATAGATGCAAAAATGGATTTTTGGATGAGTGGAGAAAATGAGTGCGTGAATGGATGGGAAAAAAAGTAAACAATAGTGGATTTATGACAGTCTGGATTAGCTAGCAAAAAAGATAATTAAGTAGATGAGAATGGAGGGGAAAATATGGAGAAAGAAAGTTATATAGCTTTCTGTGCTGAGTGAGTACCGGCTATAGATGACTGGATGCACATATAAATAGATAAACAATAGCACAAATGAGTGCATAAGGGAAAGGACGTCTTTCTTCTATGTGTATTTTGTTGTGTTAAAGCTTCAGCAAAACCAAAGGAAGAATCACCTTCTCCACCACGCCTGGGTGAGGTGACGGCATCGCACGTCAGC